AGAACGTGGACGTGTCATAGACTTAGACAAGAACAACTCAGTGAAATATGGACGTCTAAATATAGATTCCCATAATTTCGATACGCAACGAAACCTAGCTATAGACTTTCCATCGACTCTCGAGAATATATCGATTAGGAGATCAATAGGAATTGAGTCAGAATATTCCCTTACCAAGTTCGATGATTTTTCTATCGCTAAATCCTTCGAAAACTGCTTCTCTAGATTTTTCATGGTCGATGTTTCAAACCCTAGAATCTTCCACCTTCTGTTAGCTTATGCTAACGAAATTCGACTTTATATACTACTTCAACGATCCTAAATGGGCTCTATTAGGCCCAATAAGGGGGGGGGGGGTGTGTGCACAAAATGATGACGTTTTTTGTGTGGCACGTGATTTTCAACCAGTGAAGAAAACCCTAATGTGTGTCTATTGGAAATGCTAGAGTCACCAGTCGAGCCCCCAAAGAACCTTCACCGTCACAAGAAGAAGACTTCAAAAGGTCAATACCCGCGCAAAATCCACTCTCGGGTCGGATCTTTCCGTTCAAAACCCGACCGGATCCATCCCGGACCGATCAATTTCACGATTATACTCCGGCAAATTGAATAAAGCCAACAACTTTTAAAATTGAGGAAGAAGAGAGAGAGTTAAAGCTCCAATGGAGAGAAGTGAGTCTGGAGATGGAGATGTATGTGTTTTACTCCAAAACCCCTCTTTTGTTTTGTCTTATAATGTGAAGATTATGCATCGATTTGCTTAAAGCTCATGTCTTTAGAAGTTTGGTTGTGAATTTTGATTTCATTTGGTTGAGTAGGATTTGTTTTAGAACAAATTAGGGATTGGAAATTGCTTGTTTAGTGATAAAGTTTGTATCTTTTAGTCATGCAAGGTTTACATTTTTAATCATTGATCTTCTTCACAGATACAAGCATCTGTGTATTTACAGACAGAGGAGGAGACACACGAAAGAATAGGAGAAGATTTGGTTTGTAGTAGTGATCATGAGATTGATGTTGGATTTAGTCTAAACCAACA